TGTGTTCGCAGCAACCCCCATGTCGCTCCTGTACCCCTTCTCTTTAGAGGTTTTTACCATTTACCAGCTTGGGATTTCCCCCTGCCTGCAAACATATGTAATACCTGGAGGAGAGCTTACCTGTGTCGCCCACGTGCGTGGGACATTGAGGTCAGTGTCTTGGCCGGCTGCTCTGGTCAGATGGCTGGCTGTAACCGCGTCACCTCTATGCCAAGGCTGTGAGAAGAGCAGATGCGAAGATGCGCGCATGCCCTGGCTGACCTCAGGCCTAAGGTTTCCTGCTTTCTTCTCTTCTTTTTTTCTTAAGCAGTTTTTAACAGAATTTTATTTTTAAATAAAAAAAAAATCTTTATAAGCGATCTCTTAATCACTACTGCATTACAGCCATTATTCATTGTATAAGTCCAGTTATTTCTTTACGTTATGTGATGATGTGACAGCTGCTGGTGGAGTGCTGGATGTCACGGGCAATTCGTGACAGTCCCTTCATCACCTTATTCCTGACTGTGGCCCCCTCAGTATGTGCCTTCACTCCAGCTTTTTGCCTTAATCTGTGGTCTTGCTGTCTGGGGCGGTAAACAAAATGCAACACTTGCAGTTTTTATGTATAAAACAGTATTTCTTATTTATAATAAAGTCTGAATATTTGTAACCCCTTATACCTTGGCATTCTTTTGAGTATTGCTTGGCGGGGGGGGGATTGTTGGTGAGGATGTGTCTCAGTTGTAAGATTTACCTCTTGCTTAGTTAATGAGCTGGATTGGGATGGAAGAAAGGGAAAAGTAATCTGGAAATTCATGTGGTGGGCTGCAGATGTGCACAGTGATTATGGTTTCACCCTGTGTCCACTGCTCCATTGCCATGGCTGCGATGACTCCCATGCTGCTGGTTTTTTAGGCCTTAAAAAAATGATCTTATGTTGTTGGTGCTGATGTTACTGGAGCTGCACTGTCCTTCTGGAAAGCGTTGGGGAATTGTGGGGTGTTTCTTTACAATGTAAGGGTAAAATCCTTTCTGCTTTCAGCTGAACACATGGAAAAGAATGGGGCTCCTGGGAAGAAAAACAAGAACCCCTAAATAAATAAGCTGAAATTTCTCTGCTGGGAACTGCCATAAGTCTAGGTACTCTGTGTTGTTCCTAGGATAAATTTTATTCCTGAATTAAGCAAGTTTTTAATGTCAGGACAGATTACTGTGATAACAGACTAGGCAGTTCTGCAATCACACCCATCTTACAGCCGCAGACTGGATTTCTTTTATTTTTCTCAGCAGAGGAAAATGCACATGTCTCATTAGCTTGCATCAGAGCTAATCCCTTCTCAATTGGTAAATTCAGGGTTTTTTTCAGTTTGTCTAATATCAGCTTCGTATTCTTCAACGATAATTGCCACTAATGCATTTGTTTTCTAAAATATCCTTTTTCCCCCC